TTATTAAGGTATAATCCATATACCAATATCATTTATTTAAAGCATACAACCCAGTGTTCTCTTTTAGACAGAATCACAGAGATGTGCAATCAGGATCGATTTCAGAACATTTCCATTACCCCAAAAGGGAACTGCAAACCCATTTCCCCCAAACCCTCCCAGTCCCAAGCAACAACTGATCTGTCTCCAACTAATCTGCCTACTTTGCATACTTCATGTAAGTGGAACCATATAAGTCTGTGGTCTCTTGTGACTGGCTTCTTTGATACATTTAATGTTTACAAAGTTCATCCGTGTTATAGCTTGCATCAGTTCTTCATTCTTTTTTATTGCTGAATAATACTCTACTCTTAAGGATATACCATGCACAGTAGAATCTTCACAAGCAGTAGAATCTCTTTTGCTATATAAACAAAGCTGTAAACAGTGATTAGGCCCCACATTATTTCAATTTAAGGTGAGGCTATAATTAGTCAACAGTTATAAAAGATCTCATTTTGTTTTGGGGATCGGGGGAGGGGTGAAATATACAGAAGAAATTGTATTTCCATAAATGCCTATTTATAGCTGAAAATAAATTATTAATTGCATAATATTACAGTTCTCTAGAAGTGTTATCAATTACCACAGTGATATCTGGATTAATGAAAATACTGGGAATGAAGCTCCTTTATATTTAAGACAACTGCTTCAAATGTTTTCCATAATCTGTAGGAGGAATTAATTGCAAGCCCTAAGGCAGGGACACCTCAGGACATAACTTTTTTTTACCCCAACCACAGTGGAAGACAAACTGCAAAACTGCAAGTATACAAAGCTGGTCTCTATAACTTCCCTTTCTGCTGGCTGGCCCCTGCATCTCTTCCCCCTATCTTTGAAATACAATTCCTTCTGTATGTTTCACCCCTCCCCCATCCCCAAAACAAAATGAGATCTTTTATACCTGTTGACTAATTACAGCCTCACCTTAAATTGAAATAATACATTTACATGAAAATGTTACTTGAAGGAGACAATGATTTTCTAACACATTTATCCCCCAACACATGAAATGAAAATTAGTTTCCCTCAAATAAAGAATTTCCAGTAGGAACAAGCTGGTAAAGGGGAGAGTTATTGAATGCTTGTTTGTTGCTTTTATTCCCAAAAGACCCACTCAAATCACAGTAAATCCACTCCGTAGCAAATTGAATTTACTCAGGGAAACACATTTCTAGGAGGGTGGAAAAAAAATAAGGAATTGTTATTAATTCTTTTTTAAAAATATATATTTTTTATTGATTTTATACAGAGAGGAAGGGAGAGAGATAGAGAATTAGAAACATCGATGAGAGTCATCGATCAGCTGCCTCTTGCACACCCCCTACTGGGGATGTGCCCTTGACCGGAATCGAACCCGGGACCCTTCAATCCCCAAGCCGACGCTCTATCCATTGAGCCAAACCGGTCCCAGCGGAATTGTTATTAATTCTGTTAGACATGATAATGGTAGTATGATTATGTCTAAAACTACCCTTATTTAAGAAATGCATACTGAGATATTTGGGTACAATGATGTGCTATCTCTTATTTACCTGAAAATACTTCAGGTAGTTGGAAAGAGGGTATAGGGAAGGGGAGATGAAACTAAATACTGATAACTGTTGAGAGCAGCTGATAGGTGATGAGAGTTCCTTATTCTTTTCTGCTTTATGTCAAAAAATATAAAATTCTCCAGAGTAAAATGCTTTTAAAAGAGAGAGATAAACTGTTCTCTTCCTCTCAGGCAGTCTTTTGTGCCTTTTCTTTTCCTTCATAGCACTTACTGTTGTCACTACATATTTCTAAGATTATTTGATTAATGTTTATCTCCCTGACTAGACTTTAAGCTCCATAAGGACCACAAAGGTGTTCGCTTAGCTCCCACAAAATCCCTACCACCTCGTAAAGTTTCTGGCTCCTGACAAATATTTACTAAGTGATTCGAGACAATAAAATAAGTTACATCATGCACCTAGGTCAGTAAATGCTCAATACATAAAGGAAAGGGGGGAATGGAAAGCCAGGAACCTCTGGTTGAATGAATTCAACATTTTTACCTACATGTATTTACCATTTAAGTTCACATGTTTTTCTATTTAAAATGTAGTAAAGATGAACAGATTTAACTTCACCTAGCTTATCCTTGCTACATTCACGTGATGCATTCAACTAAGAACTACAGTCTCCACTTTATAAAATGGAAACTTATGGAACCAAAAAGTTATAGAACCTTTTCATGGTCATTATGAAAGAGATGCACAAATGAACAAAACTCATCTTTTGTTCATGCCTCATGCTGTTTTTAAAGGAACATGATTTTATTCTCAAGAAAAATAAAATAGCCCTAGCTGGTTTGACTCAGTGGATAGAGCGTCGTCCGCCTGTGAACTGACCGAAGGGTCCCAGGTTCAATTCTGGTCAAGGGCACATGCCCGGGGTGCCAGCTCAATCCCCAGTAGGGGGCGTGCAGGAGGCAACCAAACAATGATTGATTCTCTCTCATCATTGATGTTTCTATCTCTCTCTTCCTCTCCCCTCCTCTCTGAAATAAATAAAAATATATTTTAAAAAAGAAAAGAAAAAGTAGTACTGTATATATTAAATCAACCTTCAGTGGCTGAGAAACTGAGTAGCTATATACTAGATTCAGCTGAAAATATATTTTGACTTTGTCCAAAACCATTTTTAAAATATATTTTTACTATTGATAGCATTATAAATATCTCCCATTTCCTCTCCCCTTCCCCCTCCCAAACCTACCCTCCCCCCCAGGTTTCCCTATCCTATTGCCCATGTCCATGGGCTATGGATATAAGTGTATGAGTGCTTTGGTTTATCTTTTCCCCTCAACCCCGCATTGAGGTGTGTCAGTCTGTTCCATGCCTCCATGCTTCGGGTCTTATTTTGCTGGTCAATCCATTTTGTGAAATAAGCCAATCTGAGAAAGACAAATATCCCAGGATCTCATTTACTTGTGGAATCTAATGAACAAAATGAATTGACCAAAACAGTTTTTGAGTTTGAAGCACCTACTGGCAGAGGAAGCACAAAAAGCAGAAGATGAGCATTCAGGCAACAGGGAACGAAAGCAAACGTGACACTTGAGTAATCTGAAGGCCTTCTTAAAAAAACCGGTGACTAGTAAACTGACTACTAACAAGAAAATTCATAAAGATAATAAATACAGATACCAAGACAATGTTTAAAACACCAGTCCCCAAGTTTTAAATTCATCTCAAGTAATACCTTAATCAAAAAAGTTTTGGTTTAATCAATACTGTATATAGAAATAGCCTTCTTAAATATCACTATGCCCCCAAATCCTTTTGAAATGCTTAAAATCGATTTACCTTAATTTGATAAAAGATAACAATGTGCACAATAAAAAAAGGCAGAAATGCCAAATGTTTGCCATTAATGTAAACCAATATTTGGAAAACTAATCTTAACTCAGCCAATCCGAAAGCTTGTGTGCTGTAATGCCAAAAAAAAAAAAAAAAAAAAAAAAAAAAAAAAAGTCACATCCATATCTATGGAGAACATTTAAAGCCAAGCAAAGTCTAAAACAAAACCTACCACGAAACCTAAAAAATTAAAAACAAATAGCTAAGTATTTTTAGTAAAAAGAATAAAACAACGTTTTAAATAACCCAATAAACTTATTTTGGGGATCAAATCTGGAAAAGCATCCTTTGGCTCACATAAGATACCTACCCCCTGGCCTGGGCTGAATTCTAGACTGGGTTGCTCCACGTTTCCTCAAGGCACAGTCACTACCGGCGGAGCTGCTACCGAGACGCAGGGAGCTCAGTTTTACCCCACACCCATCGCATCACGGGCTGTCAAACCACGCGTCCAACCTGCGGCACGGCAGGGTAATGATTTACCCCTGCAATCTCCGAACAAAAATGTAAGATTCACTTGCTCCAGGATGGTTACTTCTCAACTCTTAATTTATATTTAAAAAGCACGAGCTGAGCATGAATTTCTGTGCCAACGTTATATCCATCCATTCATGTGAGCCTTTTCGTGTACGCGGCAATAGAACGCTGTCCTCTGAAGGCAGACAATACTGCTGACCCACGCCAGGCATTGATTTGTAGTTGTTTCTCCAGCGGGGTGATGGATTTGCGCTCAAGCTACTCACGGTGTCTTACTAGGTCCCCCTGGTGACCAACAGCACCTGAAGGCAGGGGCAGGCTTCCGAGGCACACACTGACAGCGGGACAGAGAGAGGGTGGGACGGAAACCACGCAGCATTAACCCGCGAGCGGTGCACATGACATGACTGAGAATAACGTGTGCATCGCTGGGGATAGTATCGGCGATCATCGCCGCCAGACACTGCTCCCTTGCCTTTCGGAAAGCAAACACCCATCCGACTCGCTCGGGCTTGTGAGTCCTGCCTCTCCTCCCGTTTAAATCACGGGGTGATGGGGAGCCGGCACCGAGGAGCTCGCGGCGCGAGGCACACGCCGCTTCCCGGGCGCCTGGGGAAGCACTGATGGGACCAACTGCCATAATTTTCTGAAATATGGAGGGATGACACACCACCTTCCCGACCACCGTTTGCAGACCCGGGATCCAGCATGGAGAACAGCCGCCCCGCGGGGGGCCCGCCGGGGAAGGGGGAGCGCACGCGACCGGGCAGAGACCGAGGCACGTCCCGAGCCCAGAGCGCCCGGCCCCGCTGCCAGGGGTGCAGGGTCGCCCCCGAGTCACGTCTCGAGGCTCCCGGGGGCGGCCCAGCGGTTCGAGGGCGAGCCCGGCCGAGGGACCCGGGTCCCGGAGCCCGGCCGGCCGGGGCGGCGGTGGGGACCCGGCTGCGCTGCCCGGGGCGCCGGGGAGGGCGCGCCGCCAGGTGCGGACGGCAGGGGGCGGCGGGGCTCGGGCGGGCGCTGCCCCGGGGAAGGAAGGAGGAGGGAGGCGGGCACGTCCCGCGCGGCGCGGGGGGCGCGGGGGGCTCGCCGCCGGCCTACCTGGAGGTGGTAGGGTCTCCGTAGCCAGGCGCCCGGACAGAGGCTCCTCGCCATGGCAATCACACATCGCCCCGCCGCGCCGCAGTCAGAGGCGGACCCGAGCGAGCGCCAGCGGCCGGGCTCCCCGCCTTCCCCCGCTCCCCGCCCGCCTCCCCGCCCCCGCCCGGCCGGGCCCGCCCCCGCCCCCGCCCCGCCCCCGCCGCGCGCGCCGCTCGGGGCTCCGCCGGGGCGGCCGCGGCCTGGCCTCCCGCTCCGCGCGCCCGGCCGGCGCGGCTGTCAGAGCCGCTGCTGCCGGCTCCCTCCGCCGTAAAAGGGAGCGCGCCGCGCCTCGGCCGACACAAATGCAGCGGCCTCCCCGCGCTTAAAGGGGAGGCGTGCGGAGGAGGGAGGGGGCGCCGCCGGCTCCGCGCGGGGCGGGGCGGGCGGGCGGGCGGGGGGAGCCGTGCGCCTCCGGCCCGGGGAGCGCCCAGCGCTCCGACCGCATCCCAGTGGCCGCCGCTCCGGCCGCCCCGCCGCGCATCCTGCCCGCCCGGCCGGCGGTGCTGAGCTCCCCTTGGACTCCGCTCCGCCGGGGCGGACGCGTCCGGGCCGGCTGCTGGGAAATCCAGGGGGAGCTGGGACTTCCCTTGGGGGCCGGCTGGCTCTCCCTCGCGCTCCGAGGCGGGTGCGGCGCGGGGAGGGGGGTCTGCCGCAGCCCCAAGCGCCGACGGGCGCATCCCCGAGGACTGGGCTCTGCGCCCATGCGGACCGGGCTGCTCTGTGCTGAACTCGCCTTGACCCCCCTCCCACCCCCCCAAATCCAGTTTGCTTCTAAGGGCCTTCATCTATTTTTAAAACACACTTTAAAAAATTCTGACCTTTTAAATTTGTACTGTTTGCAAAACAGCTTCAGAGTTTTCCTGGCTCCACCCAGGGACCCTGATTGGAAAGAAAGAAAAATATCACTGAATTGCGGTCCTGGAGACCTGGGACGTGGCACAGCTCCTCCGTTAAGGCTGCCTAACGCAGGGTGTGGTGTCTGTCTTTTGACAGTGAAGCCCAAATAAGGGAAAACAGAGACACCCTAGTGGGAGAACAGCTGTTGATAGGAGTGACTCTCCGTGGAGGAAGATGTGTTTTTGCTGCTTTTCACCCCACATGCCACCTTTCGTGGAATTCCAACAAAGTCTAGGTGGCCGTTTAGATGGCTCTGAGAAGTGGTTTCCCCAGCAGCAAACCCTGACACACTCTCACTGCAGCTTTTTACCTAGAAAGGTACAGGTAGTTACTGTTCTGGTGCTTAACTTTTTTTAAGAGATACTTTTTGTCCAATCTTCACCCCACCCCACCTCTGCACCCGCTAAGCACAGACCCAGGTTTTAAACCTGGGTGATATTTTACTGCTGGCAGATAAACCCATTTTTTTCATTGATCTTCAGCTTAGGTTAACAGACTAGTAATTTCTGAGTAAGCTAAAAATGGATCCTCTTGGTTTAATTCATTTCTTCATTCATTCAAAAAATAAATATTAATTGAGCACCCAGACAATTCACTAGCACACAAGTGAATGAATAGTCTGTTTTAGTTGATTTGGAGATTATATATATATATATATATATATATATATATATATATATATATATAATAAACAAACAAAACCAGCCTTGTAGATATTACATTTTGTGGGTGGGGAGCAACAGGAAATAAGTAATAAGTGTAATAAATAAATAAATCAAATAGGGTAATAAAGTTGGTAAGGGATATGAAAAGAGAAACCGTCAATAGATATGAGGAAGATTATAAGTAGAGTAGGTTTGAGGAGAAAGATCAAAAGTTTATTTTTAGACATTTACATTTGATATATTGATTGGAAATCCACGTGACGATTTGGGGTAGGCAATGGTATATATAACCCGAGCTTAAGAAGAGTGGTCCAAGCTAGAGAAACATGAAAGATTTCAGCATTTAGATGATATTTAAAGCCAAGAGACTGGACAATAGCACCAAGGGGATGTGCAAATGGAGAGAAGAGAACCAAGAATGAAGTCACAATTTCAAGGAGGGAGAAGTGAAGGGGCCAGCAAAGGAGCCTGGCAAGGAGCAGCCATAGAGTAGGAGAACCAAACGTGAGTGCCTAGAAGCCAGGGGAAGGCAGTGTGTCAAGGAGGAGTGGTTACTCCTAAGTGAGTGAGAACTGAGACGACCATTGGATTTAGTACCATTGGAGGGGGGGTTGGGAATGGGAGGAGAGGAATTGGAGATGGCTAACATTATAGGCAATTGTTTTGAGAAGTTCTTTTACAAAGTGATAGTTACTGTCAGTGAAATTGAGTCAAAAGTAGGTTAACAGCCCTGGTCAAGTGGCTCAGTTGGATGGAGCATCATTCCACACACCAAAAAGCTTTGGGTTGGATTCCCAGTCAGGGCACACACCTGGTTTGTGGGTTCAATCCCTGGTTGGGGCACTCAGGCAACCAATTGATGTTTCTCTCTCCCCCTTGCTTCCTCTTGCTCTAAAAAAAAAAATCAATCAAAACATATCCTTGATGAAGATTTTTTTTTAAGTAGGTTGACAAAAAAAATTGGGAGAACTATTTGTTTCTGATGAGGATGATCTGAAAGAGAAGGGGAAATTTATGTAGGCACAAGAAGAGAGAATTGTTGGAAAGGTCTCCTTGAGAAGGAAAGAGAATTTGGAATCTAGCACCCAATTGAATGAGTAGTCTGCAGACAGGAACATCAGACTGTCCATCTATGGAAACAGGCAAGCAGTTGGGCAGAAGTGGTTGTGGGAATTTGTGGGAGTTCTCTTTTGGTTGTTTTCATTTTCTCAGAGACAGGAAGTAAGGTCATCAGTGGAGAAAGAAGAGCTTTGGAAGAATAATGGAGGCTTGAAGAGAGAAGTGAAGGCATAAAATATTCATCTGGAAAGGTAAATGGACTAGGAAAAAAATATCATATGCCTGCTGAATGTCATAAAGGGCCTGCTTGAGTTGCTAGTGATAAATTTAAGTGGGACAAGTCAGTGTGACTGTGGTGTTTTTCTTTAATTGATTTTAGAGAGAGAGGAAGGGAGAGAGAGAAACATCAATTTGATACTCCACTTACTTATATATTCATTGGTTGATCCTTAGCTATGACCTGGCATGACCAAACCCTCAACGTTGGCTTATGGTGATGACACTAACCAAGTGAGCTACCCAGCCAGGGCCTGATTGTGCTTTTTTCAAAAACTCCAGCAATAATCAGCTACGGGAGTGAAGGCTCAGAGTAGGCTTAGAATTCTATTTAATTCGTCTTTACCAAGGCGAGAAGAGCAAGGAGAGAGGAGCAAGGGAGTTGAGGATGTAAGGGAGTGTTTGAAACTCCCAATGGAGTTTAAGATGACAAGCCAGTGGATGGATGTGGATAGATTAAGGACAGAAAAAAAGTGGTAGTATCAATTAATGGCAAGTCCTTTAATTATATAAAGAAGTCAGAAAATAAGAGAGAATGATCTGGAAAGATAGGAAGTGTTTAATAGGGGATCTGGATTCATGTTTTATACTTTCTTTTTTTAAAAAAATATATTTTATTAATTTTTTACAGAGAGGAAGGGAGAGAGATAGAGAGCTAGAAACATCGATGAGAGAGAAACATCGACCAGCTGCCTCCTGCTCATGCCCTACCGGGGATGTGCCCGCAACCAATGTACATGCCCTTGACCGGAATCGAACCTGGGACCTTTCAGTCCACAGACCAACGCTCTACCACTGAGCCAAACCGGTTTCGGCATGTTTTATACTTTCTGACAGCGTTCGCCACTCCTCTTCTCCCTGGGCCCCACATTTGGGAAAACTGTTAAGAAAGCCTGGGTGCTCATTCCTTTGGTGCCAATGGGAAGTTCAAACCATGTAAGACCCAAACCATGTGAGAAAACCTTCACCCTGGTCCCACCCCTACCCCAAACACCATCTCCTTTCTCTGTCCCCTCAAGCTATGAATGGGTAATAAGGACAAGGTTTCAGTCAAATGAGAAGAAATGATTGTTCCTTTTCCATTTAGAGTCAACAAAGATTAAATGTGTAAGTTACAATTTTCTTATTCAAAAGGGGGAACTTCATTTAGATGATTTTTATTTCAAATTTTAGTTATTTCCCTTGTTATCACGTGTCCCAGGAGCCTGAGAGAGAACGCTGGTGCTCGACAGCCCCCCAGGGTCCAGGCTGGGAACCTCATGGTAGGTGGACTTGAACTTCTGGTTTTACATCCACCAAGTGTATGAATCCCAAGAAGGATCCCAAGCATGTTGGCCTGTGGCAAAGTTAAGTAGGACACATTCTACCTCCTGGTGTGGCTCATCTTTCCACTCTTGTTACAGTGGCCCTGCAAATTCTGGATGTCATACACTGGACCTATCTGCAAATATCCAGATCGACCTGACACCCATTCTTATGAAGTTTAAAAGTTTCTGTTTTTCTAAGGAAAAGTCAGCGAATCCAAAATTAATCCATGTGGTTGTGTTCAGAGGTACTAATTTGTGGCCTCTTGGTGGCCACGAGTAATGTGACTTTGGCATTCCAGAGACAAAGGAGTAACTCCATTGGTTTAAATATATGAAAACAAGATCAGTGGTCTTCAAACTTTTCATTTGCACGCACTACTAAAAGAATTTTGAAAAATATATGTATCCCTGCCCCATTTTTTAAAAAACGACATCCAAATTTTATTCTTATAAAATTAAATAATTGTAAAGGAAGTCATTTCCAGTGTTCTGTTGTAAATATTTGCGTTTAAAAATAAAATGGTCTCTCCAATCTTAAGTGTGGAATATAAATGCCATGGTGATTTGATACCATTTAAAGAGTAAATGAAAAAGTATTTCTTTAGCTATTAAATATGTAACATTGTTCCCTTTTCTTCTTAAACTTTTAAAAAATATTTTTCATTTTTCAGTCACAATGTACAATATTATATTAGTTTCAGATGTACAACCTCGTGATCACACATTTGTTTAACCTGCGAAGTGATCATCTCAGTAAATCCAGCACCCATCTCACACTATATATAGCTACTACAATATCACTGACTGTATT